GTTAGCATGGTAGCATTAGCGTGCCGACGTGGGCACACCTCCCGGAGTTGTAACACAGTTTTCAGGATGGCGTAAAGTGTTGATTATTTATCAAAAAAGATACATTTGGTACTACAGGGATAATAAAGTGGAAGATTAGTGCTTTCTTTTGGACGCTTTTTGACCCTTCCCGGCCTCTGTCTTACTTTTAAATGCTGAGACTTATCAGAGTCCATAGACTACATTAATTCCCACCATTTTCTGGACGGCTTTAGCCCCGAAATCGAGCCCCCGCTTTGGTTCCTCTAACCCTGGAAGCCTGTCAGAGTGTCTGGAGGCTGGTGGGTGATTCAGACTTTTCCCTTTGACTTAATAAAGATGGCGGGGGCATGAAAGGCAGAAGACGGGAGTCGGGACGTGAGCGGAACGGGCCGGAAAGTGAGTGGTGAGTGACACCCGTGCTTATTAGAATGCAAATTGTACGGTAAATGCAATAATTGCTAAGACCAATTTAGCTGGAAGCAATTACAGACGGGAGACGGATCGTTTCGGGGGCTTTTCCGCTCGCCCAAATTGCCTTTAATGGTCCTCTGTTTCTTTTGTGAACGCCAAACAATAACGCACTTCTAATGAACCTAAAAGGCAGAGACACAGAGAGAAAAGGTGACATGTTTATCCCCCCCCCCACAGAGCCGGAAATCCCATTTTCAACTCATCCGATCGAAGCAAATGTGAGGAATGTGAGGAGGATTACATGTAAATTACACTTTTCTAAACCCACCCCATGAGCTGATTCTTCCTGAATTTGACAGGAAGTTAGCTCAAAGTCCAGAACATCAGGATATTTGTAGATTTTTCTGTAGTTCTGGTGGTTTATGCTGGTCTCCGAATGGCAAAGAGAGCCAAAAAAACCAAGAACTTTTCACCCAGAAAGCTTGTTTTTGTCTCGTTTCAGAGTTCAAAAGAAGGAAACAGAAGGAAAAGGATGAGTTCAAATCAAAAAGGTGAGATAATGATGACAACTACTATTATTATTGTTATTTTTACTGATTGTGGCAGTGATATTGTTATTATTATTCTCATTACTACTACTATTATTATTATTACTATTATTATTTAATTTCATCTTATATGTTTTATATGGTGGGATTTATTCTACAATCTGTAGTCCTTTTGGTTTATTTGTACTACCATGTTTGAATATGACTCAAAATGTGGGGACATTTAAGTGACTTTTATGTATATTTTTTTGGAAAATTCAATAAACACAATTAAACAAAATACAAAAAACAAAAAGGTGATGATGAGGGTCAAAGGGCACCTCTTCCATCTCCTCCTAGAGTTTTTCCAGCTCTCAACACAAATCTTAATAAAGAGAAAATTGGAGATAGAGGCCTGTAATTATCCCCATTTGTGGGACTTCTGTCTTTTCTTTTGAGTCTGATTCTATAAGTGAACGTCCCTCTTATCCACTGGACAGTTATGAGTCCATATTTTAGGTGATTTGATAACTTTATAGGGACTACATCATGAATTTTGACTTTAAATCAGTTTTCAAAAACAGATTCTAGCTTTTTTTCTAGATTTTTAACATTAAAACGATGTGAAAACATGATGAAGATTATGTAGATTTGAAGCTTAATTTCCGATGGAAGCACAGGATGACTAATTAGAGAAAAACAAACCAAACTTGGGTAAAAAAATAGGCATATTGTGTCTGACAGACGCTTCTTATTCTGAGTTTTTGCTTCTTTTCGGGCTCGTTTACATTCTTAGTTTTGTCATCGTGTGTTTGATTTAATTACCCAGCAAACACATTGAAATGCCAAAGTCTAACAAGCCAAAGTTTCCCTCTCCTTTAGTTATTAATCACCATACTTCTGCGTTGCCTTTTTCCAAATCAGATTATGACCCACAGAAGATATTCTAATTAAAATCAGCCACTGGCCACAACCCCGAAAAAAGACACTTTGGGTTTTGACGATTAAACCGTTACGAGGCAGAAAAGAACAAGACAGAAGACGGACTTATTCGAGGTCTTTTTCATTTCCTTTAGTGTAACCTCATCAAGAAAAGTCAATAAAGGAGCCGCCTGTTATCAGCATTCAGCACACGCGTGTTTCTGCGTCTGAATGTTTAAGTGAGTGATGGATTAGGGCAGTGTTTTTCAACCACTGTAGAAATTTCACCTAATTGGTCTAAAAAGATTTTTTGATAAGGAATTAATTATCTGCAAATAATGTTCCATTTTTGAGTGTCTGTGCTGTTCTAGTGACTGGTGGAGTAATCATGTAATAATTCCTTATGACTAGATTTTGTATATAATTTTGCATATTGAAGTGGACATGTTAAGTGCAATTTGAAAGAAGAAAATATTATAAAAATACATTTTGGTGTTTATTCGATTCCTATTCAAGACACTTAAGATAAGATAAGAATAAAATAAGAATAACTATAGTGTTACTATAGGCGGCTACAGATTTGTTTGACATTTTTGGTTGGTGGTGTGCCTCGAGATTTTTTCTATGAAAAAATTTCCCTTGGCTCAAAAAAGGTTGAAAAACACTGGATTAGTGCTCGGAGAGTCTGTGGGAAGGTCTGCTGGGGTTTTTAGGTCTGTGTCGGGGATGTTGTGGTTTCAGGTTGAAGACGGAGGCCACAGGGAGCCTTTTTAATGATGCTAACACGATACTAAAATGTTCAACTGGATACCGACACTCAGGAAAATATTCGATACTCGATACAATTTTCGATACCACAAGGATAAAAACAAAGACCCAAAAATTTTACTGAATATTGACAGGTTAGTGGTTTTGGTTTCAAACTGACCTGTTATGGTGGCCCACATTAATGACCCTAACTCTAACCCTAACACTAACCCTAACACTAACCCTAGACCTAACCCTAAACCTAACTATAAGCCTAAACCTAACCCTAAACCTAAACCTAACCCTAACCCTGACCCTAACCCTCCAGCCTTCATAATTATGAGAAATAAATATTTTTTGGTTAAACTTGTTTGGACTTATTGTACAAACCTATTTAACATCCATTATTTTAACATATTATAATGTATAGAGTTTAATTCAGTGTTTGCAAGATTATTTTAACTATTTTTAAAATTATCGTCTACATTTCCATGAAGTAATTAAGATTTTCTTGCCTGGGATCTTCCATCTTATATCTCTATGAAGGAAGTTGTATGGAATTGTTATTGGGTTGGAAAAAAGTGTTCTGCGAAGTTTGGGGAAAAGCCGAGGCAGATGGCCGCCAACGCTCTATGGTTCAGCTCCAGGTTTCTGCCTGTTAAACGGAAGTTTTTCCTTCCCTGGGTCGCCTAGTGCTTGCTCTTGGTGGGAATTGTTGGAATTGCTTCTGTAAATAACTTCAGAGTCCGGTCTGAGCTGCTCTGTTTGGAAAGCTGGGACATAACTGCTGTTGGGATTTTCGCTATAGAAATAAAATTGAATTGAATTGAATTGAAAAGCTGTTGTTCTAGTTGGAGTGGGCGAACGAAGTGGGTGCCATTTCCGGCGGCCATCTTGCCCGTGTCCTCCACCTCTAATGGAGCGATTTCCCTCTCCCGGCGTGACTCGTTATCGGCCCACTTACGGCGTTGGTGAACCGCGTAATGGATCGCCGTTAGTCTAGTTTCCTGCTCCAGGGGCAGCTTTCCCGTTTAACCTCTCCATTTCCCACCGTTTGGACCAGGTAAATAACCTTTTAGTTATTTATGTGGTCGGCCATATGTGGCGGTGTGTGTTTTTCCTGGTCGTGTCCGAGCTGGGATCGGTTTTCGTGATGCATCTTTGTGGCTGGCGTCCATCCCGATTGGTCCATTACAAAGTGTTCATGGCCTCACCCATTAGAAACTCATCTCTAATATCTTTCTAACTGACACATGTTTCTGTGAGCAGCTGTTGAGGCTTAAACCCAAAACGCTGACACACAAGGACAGAATAAAGACAGAATACAATAATCGTATTGGGTGGGATCGAACATCAAAGAAGGGCAGACCTTAACTTTGATTGTCGACTTTAGCAAATAAGCTGTTAAAACGAGCCTTTGACGAGCCTAAACGTCCTCTATCCTGAATCCTGCCAGATTGATTTAGAGTCCGTTTTGCTGGGAATGAAATAAAAAGTGTTCAGCACTGCTTTGCCTGGCTAAAAAGCCCTAAATAATGTTTATTTTCATGCAATTAATGTTTAAAATACAGCTTAGATACTTTTGATAGATGGTTAAAAGTACTGCAAAGTTGTTTTTTATACTTGTACACACACACATGTATATGTATATATATATATATATATATATATATATATTACTTGTATATATACATACAATTTTATATCCATATTATGTATTTATATATATAAAATATTATATTTATATATACATATTAAAGTCCAATTCCACACTAGCATTAACATTAGGAGATGCACAGGGTTAGGAGATGCTAAGGCTAATGCTAGGGTGGGATAGGATTTAAAAAAAATGGATCAGGAGTCTGGATCTGCATATATATATATATATATATGATACATAATGTAATATGTATAATAATAATGTAATGTAATGTATCGTTAGCTGGATTTCTAGATTTAAAAAAAGCCAAAACAAACAGTGCTGGTCCATCCCTAATTAACAGCAACAGCTTTATTCAAAGTGACAGGCGGGCCCTTCTCATTAAGTTTTATATATATATATATATTTATTAAATTTTATATACTATATATACTAGCATTAGCGTTAGGAGATGCTAATGATAAGGCATTAATCTCCTCCAGACAGCTAATGCCTTTCCCAAAATGAGCCTCACGGTTATCGACATGTTTCTGGGGAGAGATCCCAATCCCAAACATGTCGTCCTCTGTGGGTCTCCGTGTGGGAGGAAACTCCAGGAATAACCTCTTTATTCCCTCTTTATTCGCTCTTTATTGGCTGGTTATTCTGGGCGTGCGTGGGAGGCCTGATGAGCGCTCGGGTTCCGGTTTGTGCTTTTGAACGTCTGAGTGGGCGTCTGAACTCCGTCTCCTCGCCTTCCAACACTTTTGTGCGTCTCACATTTGATCGTGACACTTTAACGGGGGACGCTCTTTGTTCCCGTGCGGTTTGAAGCCCCCCCCCGTCTTTTCAGGTGGTTGATTTTCTTTCTGGATTTTGGATTTGCACTGTTTCTGTTCTCCTGTTGTTCTCCTCTAAATTGATTTGTTTGCTTACTGTAGGAGCCTCGGTTGGATATCCAACCCCTCCCACATCCAAGTCGGCCAGTCACCCTAAACTTAACCCTGACCCTAACCCTGACCGTAACCCTAACCCTAACCCTGACCGTAACCCTAACCCTAACCCTTAGCACACCTTTGTGCGTCTCACATGTGATCGTGACACTTAACGGGGGATGCTCTTTGTTCCCCCCCTTTTCAAACGCTGTGGATTTTCTGATGGATTTGGGATGCGCACTGTTTCTGCTCTCCTGTTGTTCTCCTCTAAATTGATTTGTTTGCTTGAATTCGCAGTCTGTAGGAGCCTCGGCTGGATATCCGACTCCTCCCACATCCACAAGTCGGCCATTTTGATTAGGTCATGTGACTAGCAGCTTTCTGAGGTGGAAACTAAACTTTACTGTCTATATGAAATCGGAAGATAAACGATGTCCTGATCCTAACCTTAACCCTGACCCTAACCCTAAACCTAACTTTGACCCTAAACCTAACCCTGACCGTAACCCTGACCGTAACACTAACCCTTCGAACACTTTTGTGCGTCTCACATGTGATCGTGACACTTTAACGGGGGACGCTCTTTTTTCCCGTGCGGTTTGAAGGCCCCCCCCCTTTTCAAACGCTGTGGATTTTCTGATGGATTTTGGATGCGCGCTGTTCTCCTCTAGATTGATTCGTTTGCTTACTGAATTACTGAATTCGCAGCCTGTAGGAGCCTCGGTTTGATGTCCAACCCCTCCCACATCCAAGTCGGCCATTTTTATTAGGTCATGTGACTAGCAGCTTTCTGAGGTGGAAATGAAACTTTATTGTCTATACGAAATCAGAAGAAAAACAATGTCCTAATCCTAACCTTAACCCTGACCCTAACCCTAAACCTAACCTTGACCGTAAACCTAACCCTGACCCTGACCCTGACCCTGACCCTAGCCCTAAACCTAACCCTAATCCTAAACCTAACCCTAACCCTCCACCTTCCCTAATTGTGAGAAATAAATATTTTTTGGTTGAACTTGTTTGGACTTATTGGACAAACTTGTTTAACCTAATATCATGGACAGAGTTTAATTTAGTGTTTGCAGGATTCATTTCACTATTTTTAAATTAATGTCTCTATTGCCATGAAGCAATTAGGATTTTCTTGCCTGGGATCTTCCCTGATCAAAATGGCCGACTTGGATGTGGGGGAGTTGGATATCCATCCTTGGCTTCTTGCAGACGTACTTGGGGTTTAGGGTTTAGGGAGGGTTGTTTCTGTATAGATATCATTAATATTCATGGAGCAGAACATACACATGGTGAAGCTTCCACTGGAGCTAAGCTAAGCTAAGCTAAGCTAGCGTTGCGTCAAAATTGATATTGGACAATGGTTGTTTGTGTCGGGTGGGGGGGGTGGATGAAGTTAGGATGCAGAGGAGGAACTTACGATGGGGCTGGCGTTGATGTAATCAGAGTTTCCTTGGCTGTTCTCCACCTTCAAGGTGATTCTGGAGTGGTCGTCTGAAACGAAAAGAAATAAAGAGTCCATTTGTCTGCCGAGCGAAAAGAACCAGAATAAACTTCAGGGTCTAGTCTGAATAAACGTTTGGTCAATCATTAGATCTACTCGCCCGTTGTTGAGGGTAAAACACTTTTTCGCCTCGTCAATATGGTGTTTTTATTTGTATCCCAAAGGAAATGACCATAAAAACTTGGTCCACAGAAGGAGGTTATACATCAGATCTGCACGTGTTATTGAGGGTATAAACACTATTTCACCTCGTCGATATGGTGTTTTTATCCCAAAAGGAAACTCTTTCACTGTGTTTGTTGAAGTTTTTTCTTATATAGTTTTTAAGGAAATGAAATGAGGTAATGGTTTGATCACAGCTTTGCATTGACATCCGTCTCTTTACTAGATTACCGAGTTGGACGTAATGGGTTTCTTGTCACGTTTCCTGTTTTGTTTTGTAGTCCCTCCTGTCTGGTCCCAGTGTTGCTTTCTGTTTATTTACTGAGTCCTTCCTAATCACCTCCACCTGTGTCTCACTGTTTCATTCCCTGTCTTGTGTATATATTCCCTAGTCTGTCTCTTGTTCGTCGCGTGTTCGTACTTGTCTTTTTGTCAGTCGTCCAGGCATTTCCTAGTCTCGTCTTGCCTCGTATTTCTGACCTTTTCCTACTTGTTCTTGACCCGTTTTTGTACATTTGCCTGCTCATTATTGCCTACCCTTGTACTGACCATTTTTGGATTAAACGACTTTGATTTGATTCCCTTGCTTGCTTGAAATCTTGCATTTGGGTCCTGGTGTCACGCCCGTGATAGTTTTTATCTGTAAGACGACGTATCCCAAAGGATATGACCATAAAAACTTCGGAGGTGTTAGCATACATCATGTGATAGCATACAATGCTGAAGTGAGTACTTATAGCCAAATTCTAAGAGAAAGAGTCTTCTGTTATTTGTCTTGTGAGCGAAAAAGAACCAAAATAAACTTTAATAAAAATTATTCTAGACTGAATAAACGTTTCCTGTTGTGTTTGTTCAATCATTAGATCTGCACGCCCGTTATTGAGGGTAAAAACACTATTTCACCTCGTCGATATGATGTTTTTATCTGTAAGACGAGGTATCCCAAAGGAAATTACCATAAAAACTTTGGAGGTTCGTGTAGTTTTTGAGGAAATGAAATTAGGTAATGGTTTGATCACAGCTTTGCATTGACATCCGTCTTTTTACTAGATTACCGAGTTGGACGTAAAAGCCCATTTTGGATTAAACTTAGATGCGTGTGAGGCTGAGATTGTCAACAGTTTAATGGCCGGTTTATGCGTCTTGGTACTCTTGGGGAGGCTTCCTCTCAGATTCGCTATTCATCATTTCTAGTCCATTGAACTCATTTGAAAGTGTCGAATTGCGCAATGTTTCACTCCCGTGGGCAGCTCCCCGAAGCCTGCAGTCGGATTGGTTATAGTTCCTCCCCGAGAAAGAAGCCAGAGGGGCTCCGAATAGGAAGCACAATTTATTCCTGACAAACCTGCTTTTCCCGGGTGACGGTCTGGATTTCATTAAGCCTCGGCCCGGTCCGGAGAACGGGACGGCTCTTTTTTAGACGGGTCATTTCCACAGAAGCCTAGAAGTTTTAATCATTGATGAGGTCTGTGCAGGAGCGCTTTAATAGAAAACTAATTTACACCCCTTCTGCTCGCCGCATCTGCTCCCAGCTTCTGATAATAGGCCCGGCTCAGAGTATGTGGAGAAATGACGCCATCGTGTTTGTACCCACAGGGTTTTTTTGGGGGGGAAGGGGGAAGTTTCTTTGAAGGAGAAGCGTGTGGTGTAGTTCCATCTACACCACACGCTGTCTACGGAGAGTGCAGAACATCATGCGTGACCGCCACCATCCTGCCCATCACTTGTTCCAACTTCTACCCTCAGGTAAAAGGTACAGGTCCCTTCAGAGCCGGACCAAAAGACTGGACAACAGCCTATACCACCAGGCCATAAGACTTTTGAACTCACAGGACTTTTTGAGGAACGGACTGCCTAAATTCTGAATGTTTTGCCTTATTCATTAGGGCTCCCTTATTATAGTCTGGTTGGGGAGCTGTGTATTTATCCTGTGTGTGTGTGTGTGTGTGTGTGTGTGTTTGTGTGTGTGTGTGTGTGTGTGTGTGTTTGTGTGTGTTGGGGGGGCAAGCAATATGGCACTTAATAATCTTTGCTGCACTTTAAGTGTGATGGAGGGGGGGGCTGGGGGGGTCAAGCACTGGTGTCCCTTTTACCTCTTGTGCACTTTACCTGGAACTTGCTGCTACTAAGTATTGTACCCCAAACACAATTCCGTTGCCTTTTTTGACAATGACAATAAATTCTTGAATTGAATTGAATTGAATTGAATCTGTCCATCACTTTTGATCTCTGGCATCAGGCTACTAGCGTCCACTGAGGCCCATTTGATCCAGCGATACGATCCGATACTGTTCATAAATGATTCACTGAGAGTGATACGACACATTAACGGTGTCGTAAAGCCGATACGATACGATACGATACGATACGATACGATACGATTCATTACTTCAACAGTTTGACTTTACACAGTGTGATTCTGTTCAACACGATTCGGGATGTGATTCAAGACCATCCAACACAATTCTTAAACTTGTTTGGACTCATTGTACAAACCTAGTTAACAAACACTATTTTAACATAATATTATGTATAGAGTTTAATCCAGTGTTTGCAAGATGAATTTCACTATTTTTAAATGATTGTCTATATTGCCATAAAGCAATTACGATTTTCTTGCCTGGGATCTTCCTATTGGTGACCTAATCAAAATGGTCACCATTTTTCTTTAACATGGATTAACTCGTCCTCTGTCTTTCCCTGTGAGGGGAGCATTTTATACTTGTTTTCTATGAAGAAAAGCAATAAATCCACCTTATACAAGAGATGCAGTTTAAAACGGTTTATTAATTCATCATTTATTTATCAAGTTTGTGCCCGATAAACACTGAATCAGATTGTGTTTTCCTTATCTGTGTTTTTTATCTTGTTTTATATTTAAGTAATGTCTTTTTGACCTTTTCTTGGATCCTGTCACTAATAGTGCTGCTCTTTTGCTAAACTTTGGACTTTGGATGCTTTCCCACTTATGTTCCACATCTCTTTAACTTTTGTCTTTTGTCTTTTGTCCTCCATTTTGCTGTTTACAAATCGCGCTGATGATGCATTCAGGGGCCTCCAGGAAAGCAAAGGAGCGCCACAAGAACAGCAGAGTCCCTGTCTGTCTTCAAGAAACTCTTGAAGA